ATACAGGCAGTCCCCGGGTTACGTCAGTCCGACTTAGTCGGACCCCTAGTTACAGACTGGGGGAGAGGAGATCCCGCTAGGCCGGGGTCCCTCCCCCACTGTCGCCGCCTCCGGTGGCACGGGGGGCGCTCCCCCCCAGTAGACCAGGGAGACGCGGAGCAGCTTTTCTCGCCCTGGAGGATGCAGGCGGCGGGACCGCGGCGCATCTGGGCGTCCCGCCACTCCAGTCCTCCGGGGCGAGAAAAACCCCGTTTGTAACTGCAGATCCGACATAAGTCAGATCTGCGTAACTCGGGGACTGCCTGTACATTATTATTCGGTGGGTATTTGGTGTTCAAGCAATTTTTCATGTGTGGGAACTAAAAAGAATTGATTGTTTTGAGATATTCAGGAATCATTTGCCACATTCACTGAGCAATATCTAGAAACTCTGTAAAGAATACCTTAATAGAGTCCTGGGAAAAGTTAGATCTCAGTCCTGAGTTAAGGAAAGTGACAAGGAGAAGAGGTGGCCTGCATTCTTTCAAACAGTGGGAATAGTGCTCCTTTGAGTCAAGTGTGGTGCTTGTGAAAAATCCAGAATTAGCAAGAATACAGTTGTAGATACTGAAATCATCAAGAAATTTGTAAGTGAACACCAATGAAAACAAGTGTGTGCTAGAAAGAATGAACTAAGGCAAATGAAATTCAGCAATGTCAAAATGGAACCATCACATTGATGTCACTCAAGACATAGCTTCATCTGTTCCTATGGCTATGATGTCATTAAAAAAGCCTACTTAATATTATGGGCAAACTTTTTTGGATATCAGTAGCATATAAATTAATGTGCAATGGCAGGCAAGCATATAATTTTTTCACTGAATGAATGAATGTATTAAGGATATAAAATATGACCTGAAATACTATCGGAGATCAAAATTCTCAATCTGAATGCTTATATAGCTTCACACATGAAGACAACTTATAGTGTAGATGTTCTGCCAATTTCATTAGCAGGTCAGATGATGAACAAAAAATGCTTCTATGCTTCAGAAATACATAAAATGCCCAACATTGTGAGGAAGTGAAAACTTTATGAGAAGAACTGAATGTAATGCTAAGGAGGAAGAAACAGAGTTCATTGAACATAAAATTGAAACTAGAAGAGAAAACCTCTGAAGATGTCTCTAAAAAACTCCCAAGATCCTAGAGTAAAAGATGATAGAAAAGACAGTAAATAAACCATCTCAGTTATACACAACAGTCACATTAGGTCCAACATTTTTAACAAGAAAGATTCTTGTATTCTCAGAAGCTAAACATATGGGCTACGTCTACACTGGCCCCTAAAAACGGAAAAGCCATGCAAATCAGGTAAGTCAGGATAGGGAAATCCGCGGGGGATTTAAATATCCCCCGCGGATTTAAATAAACATGTCCGCCGCTTTTTTTCCGGCTTGGGGAAAAGCCGGAAAAAAAGCGTCTAGACTGGCGCGATCCTCCGGAATAAAGCCCTCCGGAAAAGGGCTTTATTCCGGAGGATCGCGCCAGTCTAGACGCTTTTTTTCCGGCTTTTCCCCAAGCCGGAAAAAAAGCGGTGGACATGTTTATTTAAATCCGCGGGGGATATTTAAATCCTCCGCAGATTTCCCTATCCTGACTTACCTGATTTGCATGGCTTTTCCGTTTTTAGGGGCCAATGTAGACGTAGCCATGTAGTAAAAAAGAGTTGCAACAGATTACTGTATCTCTGAAATGAGTTTTAGTATAAATGCAATTAAAATATTGGGCAGTGTTCTAACATCCAACACATTTTAAAGCAAAGTAAGTTAAAACCTTTTAAAACCATCAGGGGAAGGAACTGGGAAGGAAGATTCTCAGGTAAACTTACATTTCCCTAGAGACCAAATTACTTGGTACGTCAGCTGAATTTTTATCTATTCTGATGAGTAATCCATCTTTATTAGGATAACTGATGTCAGCTCTTAACCCAGTGGTTAATATTATAAGTAATGCCATCAGAAAAAACACTTCTACAGCAATCAGATGTAGTTCCTCCTCTTTTTTACTTACAGAATCCAAAAAACAACACTTACCACACACTTTCAATGTTCAAAACAATGCAGTCACATTAACACAACTGTGTATACAAGCTACATTCTAACCACAATATACATCAGATGAATTCATGTTCAATCTGTAGAAATATTTCAGTTTCCCTTTACTTACCTCCCATAATTTTGGACTGGCAGTTAATAAATTCTGGTTTCTTATCTGTAAGGTAGCGCTGGCAAGTGTGGTGAAGAATCTGAAAGAATGTGGATTTTTCAGAGGCTGTGCTTGCTACCCATTGGTCAAAAGCATTTTCAAATAGTAAATCAAATTCTGGACAATCCTAAAAAAAAAAAAAAACAGTAACATTGGTATCACTGACGCTTTATTTTAAAAATGGTTTGAAGGTCACTTGCAGCAATGGACATTTTGAATAACAATTTAAAATACATTATTTTAATGACAATCCACTTTTCTAGGGCTATGTCTAGACTGCAAGCATCTTTCGAAAGAGCCTCTTTCAAAAGATCGCGTCTAGACTGCAGGCGGATCTTTCGAAAGAGAAATCCGCTTTTTCGAAAGAGAGCACCCAGCGAGTCTGGATGCTCTCTTTCGAAGACGGCCTCTTTACATTGAAGAACGCCTTCTTTCGAAAGAGGAACTTTCGAAAGAAGGCGTTCTTCCTCGTGAAACGAGGTTTACCGCCATCGAAAGAAAAGCCGCGTTCTTTCGAAATAATTTCGAAAGAACGCGGCTTGAGTCTGGACGCAGGGGAAGTTTTTTCGGGAAAAGGCTACTTTTCCCGAAAAAACCCCTGAGTCTGGACACGGCCTAGCTGATCTAAATTTTTCTTCCTGCAGAAATTTTTCTTGGAAACATATATGTTTCTGAATGGAAATTCCAATGGATATTCTTAAGCTTTCGATAAAATCTCAATATTGAAAGATTTCAGCCAAAAGAGTTGCAGTATCTCATGGGGGTGTACTGTCCTTGTGCACCCTTTCTCCTCTAAAGATGTGTCTAAACTGTTGACAGAGGGATGTAGATTAGGCACATCGCTATTGCAAATTACAATGTGCCTAATCTGCATCCCTTTGTCGGCAGAGGGGTGTAGTTTAGACACATCCTAAGAGTGGACTGGACTCCCCTTTTGAAAATGGAAAGTTGTGCAAAATGAATTCTTTGCTTGTGGGGCATGATGAGAGATGTACTCCAAATGGGCCTTTTGGGCCATTGAGTAGAATGGGAACTCAGGTAGCGAACTACTATTTGTAACTGGAATAGGTTGCCATGTTTTCTAATAGGCCTCAGAGTTGGCAGTCTGCATTTAACTTGAGCAGCAGTAAGTCAGACAGCAAAATACAGCCACACTCCAAACACTGTGCCAACCACAAAAAGAAATGAACTCTGATCATGTGATTTGCTTCTATCACATGGCAGACCAGGATAATCCATCCATATTAATGACATGACAAGAGATATATGTACTACGCCACAACAGGACATTGGTGCAGCCTTCAGATGTGTTTAGCCTTTTGCCTACAAAGTGCTCCAGTAATTTACTAATTAATGCCACAGAGCTTAATATTGGAGCATGTCTGGTGACACTGAAAATTAAATAGAGATGTTTATTGTACTGTATTCTTTCACGAAAAAAATAGTTAATAGGAGGAAAAGAAAAAAATCTACTGTATTCCAACTAGAGTGGAAAATATATTTAAAGGAAGGCTCAAATTGGTTACATTTCCAAACTGCTTTTGACGGGATAGCTCAGCACATGTTGGCATTTCCCTCTACTCGCCGGTTATACTCTTTCCACACATCACCCCCCAACCACACAGCAGCCTCCATTATCTTTTCCACTACACACACTTAGTATAATGGGTTATGGATTTTTTTTAATTTTCTTTTTTGGTAATAACATCTCAGATGTACACAGAAAGAAGTTGGTGCATCACCATTAATAAAGATCATATGACCAATCAGAATGTGGCCTTAGATAATCCAGGATCTCAGGTAGACTAACTACGAACATATTCCATTGCATAATGAATTTGTTTACTTTATGCTTCACAATGTTTATGGCTATAAGATGTGATTGAAATCCCCAACTCCTAATGCTCCACACATTAATTTCTAGCTGATGCATAAATAGGTTTTAGCTTTAACTGGCTTTCCTTTGCAAATCTGTCTGGTGCACTTAACACAGGCAGATGTTCAAAATTCTGAACGGATAAAAATCCAGATAAGAAGTGTTATACTGAGTTGCATATATTCCTTGAAAATTGCATCCTAGCTCTTTGGGACATTGGATAGACAAGAGAGAGATTTACATTTTAAATGAATGGTTCTCAACACATTTACCATTGTGTTATACATATGAAGCTACGTGTTATGTGGGCCACACCTGTACAATATATATGCTACCTGTATGGCCCTAATGATGTCTTGGGGGCAGGTGTTGGGGGCAGGTGAGCAAAGCCCACAGGTAAGTGCTGCATGTGCGGGACTGGGAGATGGGTTGGAAATGGGGGGGACTACGGCCTATAATGGCAGGCTGAGTTTGGAAGCAGAGAGAGCAGGGGACACTGCCCCCCTAGTCTTTTAAAAGAAGAATGAACAGTTCTTCCCTGTTCATGTTTTTGTTTCTTCAACAGGGAAGAGTGGGCAGGTCTAAGACAAACATGCTGAGCACATTCTGTCAGGAAGGACAGACAGGGAAAAAAGGGAGGAGGGGTTGCCTTGTATATTAAAAATGTACACACTTGGACTGAAGTGGAGATGAACGTAGGAGATAGCTGTGTAGAGAGTCTCTGGGTTAAGCTAAAAGGGGTAAAAAACGAGGGTGATATCATGCTAGGAGTCTACTACAGGCCACCTAGCCAGGTGGAAGAGGTGGATGAGGCCTTTTTTAAACAATTAACAAAACTATCCAAAGCCCAAGATTTGGTGGTGATGGGGGACTTCAACTATCCAGACATATGTTGGGAAACTAACACAGCGAGGCACAGGCTATCCAATAAGTTTCTGGACTGCATTGGAGACAACTTTCTGTTTCAGAAGGTTGAAAAAGCTACCAGAGGAGAAGCTGTTCTGGATTTGGTTTTAACAAATAGGGAGGAACTAGTTGAGAACTTGAAAGTGGAAGACAGTATAGGGGACAGTGATCATGAAATAATAGAGTTCATGATCTTAAGGAAAGGTAGAAGGGAGACCAGCACAATTGAGGTTATGGATTTCAGGAAGGCAGATTTTGATAAGCTCAGAGAACTTGTAGGTAAGGTCCCATGGGAAGCAAGACTGAAGGGAAAAACAACTGAGGAGAGTTGGAAGTATTTCAAAGGGACGTTGTTAAGGGCCCAAAAGCAAACAATTCCGCTGTGTAGGAAAGATAGAAAATATGGCAAAAGACCAGCTTGGCTTAACAAGGAGATCTTGCATGATCTCAAAATAAAAAAGGAGTCATATAAAAAATGGAAACTAGGACAACTAACAAAGGATGAATATAGGCAAGCAACACGGGAATGCAGGGGCAAGATTAGAAAGGCAAAGGCACAAAATGAGATCAAACTAGCTACAGGCATAAAGGGAAACAAGAAGACCTTTTATAAATACATTAAAAGCAAGAGGAAGACCAAGGACAGGGTAGGCCCACTGCTTAGTGAGGAGGGAGAAGCAGTAACAGGGAACTTGGAAATGGCGGAGATGCTCAATGACTTCTTTGTTTCGGTCTTCACCGAGAAGTCTGGAGGTGTGCCTAACGTAGTGAATACAAGCAGAGAGAGGGTAAGTTTAGAAGATAGGATACACAAAGAACAAGTTAAAAATCACTTAGGAAAGTTAGATGTCAGCAAGTCACCAGGTCCTGATGAAATGCATCCCAGGATACTCAAGGAGCTGATAGAGGAGGTATCTGAGCCTTTAGCTATGATCTTTGAAAAATCATGGCAGACAGGGGAGATTCCAGAAGACTGGAAAAGGGCAAATATTGTGCCCATCTATAAAAAGGGGAATAAGAACAACCCAGGAAATTATAGACCGGTCAGTTTAACGTCTGTCCCAGGGAAGATAATGGAGCAGGTAATTAAGGAAATCATATGCAAACACTTGGAAGGTAATAAAGTGATAGGGAATAGCCAGCATGGGTTTGTGAAGAACAAGTCATGCCAAACTAATCTGATAGCTTTCTTTGATAAGATAACGAGCCTTGTGGATAAGGGAGAAGCGGTGGATGTCATATACCTAGACTTTAGTAAGGCATTTGATACGGTCTCGCATGATATTCTTATTGATAAACTAGGCAAATATAACTTAGATAGGGCCACGATAAGGTGGGTGCATAATTGGCTGGATAACCGTAGTCAGAGAGTTGTTGTTAACGGTTCTAAATCCTGCTGGAAAGGGATAACAAGTGGAGTTCCTCAAGGGTCTGTTTTGGGACCCGTACTGTTCAATATCTTCATCAATGATGTAGATATTGGGATAGAGAGTACTCTTATTAAGTTTGCAGATGATACCAAACTGGGTGGGGTTGCAACTTCTTTGGAGGATAGGGACATAATTCAAAATGACCTTAGCAAGTTAGAGAAATGGTCAGAGGTAAACAGGATGAGGTTTAATAAGGAGAAATGCAGAGTGCTCCACTTAGGAAGGAACAATCAGTTCCATACATACAAGATGGGAAGCGACTGTCTAGGAAGGAGCATGGCGGAAAGGGATCTAGGGGTCATAGTGGACCACAAGTTGAATATGAGTCAACAGTGTGATGCTGTTGCAAAAAAAGCAAATATGATTTTAGGTTGTATCAACAGGTGTGTTGTAAGCAAAACTCGTGAAGTCATTCTGCCGCTCTATTCTGCACTAGTTAGGCCTCAGCTGGAGTACTGTGTCCAGTTCTGGGCGCCACATTTCAAGAAAGATGTGGAGAAATTGGAAAGGGTACAGAGAAGAGTGACAAGAATGATTAAAGGTCTAGAGAAGCCTATGAAGCCAGGCTTCATGAACTGGGCTTGTTTAGTTTGGAAAAAAGAAGATTAAGGGGGGACATGATAGTGGTTTTCAAATATCTAAAAGGGTGTCACAAGGAGGAAGGTGAAAATTTGTTCCTCTTGGTTTCTGAGGACAGGACATGGAGTAATGGGCTTAAAGTGCAGCAGGGGAGGTTTAGATTGGACATTAGGAAAAAATTCCTAACTGTCAGGGTGGTCAAATATTGGAATAAATTGCCAAGGGAGGTGGTGGAATCTCCCTCTCTGGAGATATTTAAGAACAGGTTAGATAGACATCTGTCAGGGATGGTGTAGGTGGAGCTTGGTCCTGCCTTGAGGGCGGGGGGCTGGACTTGATGACCTCTTGAGGTCCCTTCCAGTCCTATTATTCTATGATTCTATGTCACATGGGCCATGGCTACTTGCTGATTGGAGTCCATAGGCTGAGAATTGAGAACCACGGCCTTAAACCACTGTCAGTTTATTGGATTAAGGGGAAGCCTGTAGGGAAGCACTGCACCATGAAAGAAAGGTCTGACACCTTGCAAGGAACAAATGCAGCTGGCATTTGTAGGAAGAGACAGTTCAATTAACTCTCCTTTCATGCCCTGTCTCACCTTTGCCTGTACACAAGTACTGATCCATCTTATTGGAGGAAGTATCTAGAGAAAGATATACATCTCCATAGGATAGTCAAGAGTTAGCACTTAAACCTGGGCATTTGAGAATACTGGTTATAGATCAACATGAAAAGATGAACTATCCTGGATTTTTTGTGAGGAAGAACTCAGGGAGAATGGGTAACAGTCATGACAGGACCCTGCCCACCTTCAATTCCTATAGCAGTAGTATGACCTTGATCCTCAACATTAAAAACAAACATTCTAATAAAGTTACTTTCTCCCGATACGTGCAATGTACTCACCCGATTAGAGTCTATTCCATTGACCTGACTAAGCTGCTCAAGCATCCAATGCGATCTCCTTACAAATGATGTGGTGCCTTCAAACTGTTTGACTTTTGTAATAGATGCCTGAGAAGGTTTCTTGTTCGTCACTGAAAACATAAAAGAAAGCAAAAAAGTATAAACACATGCAGCACATTTGTGTGTGAATGCTTACAGAACTGAACACTAATTGTAAGGAAGGCAATACCTTTCACAGAGTTGAGCATAAGGGAGGAAAAGAATAATCCCAATCTTTGTAAAGCACTCAGATTAATTGATGAAAGGATTATGAATGGCTTAGGTTTTATTAACATCAAAATATCAACCAGAAATCATCTTTTTTGGGACAAGCACAGAAAATAACAGTGACCTAGCACAGTAATAACGCAATGGATGCCTTAGAAATAAAATAACAAGAAATGAAAAATAAATTTTGAGGCAAAGGGAATGTGAAAAATGCTAGGAAACATCAAGACAACCAAGAAAAGCACAAAGCAGAATGACGGGGAGGCTCTGGAACGCAATCTCTGCGACAAGAGCAAGACAAAAATCTAAGTTAGAGTTGTTTTGAGTTCAGGTGCTTCACTTGTGCCATAGAAACTGCATAGATGGAGATTATAATTTTTCTCCTTTAAAATAAATAAAGATTACTTGTATATTTCATGCACAAACTATTTCCTTCATAAGTAACTTTTAATATACCTGCATTTACAATTATTTACTACACTTACAGTATTTTAAAGTTATGAATTAATTACTGCTTCATAGTCTTCCTAAGCACTATATATTCTACAGTTAAGATTACTAAAGGTAGATCATTAGTATAACTAAAAGATAGGGCTTAAATGATTAAAAAACAATCGTTCCACAATTCAAGATGTGAAAATTTGCATTCATATCACAACATTGCAAGCTTTAGATAAGTTGTTCCTTCAGAGCATACATCCCCAGGCTTTCAAAAATCACCAAGTCAGGGCTTGGAAAATTATTAGAGGGAGAGGGGGTGGGGATTGATTTTTGTTTCTTTGTATTTGCCTTCTGGCTTTCAAGACTTTATGGTACATTTGCTTCATGTTTTCATACCAGAAACAAACTTTTAAAAACAAGTAAAAGCTGAGCAACTCCTGCTCGGCCAGGCTGAGCTGCCAGTTAACTGGTTATCCCAGTAAGCATGCTGGGAAAGGCAAATGCTTAACAGGTATGAAATAACATGACTCCTAGAACTGGCACTTTAAGACAGACACCAAACACTGTGAAAATAGGAAACCTGCACAGCACCAGAAGTTGGTTAAAGCAGTGTCTTAACACAAGTAATGGATCCAAACATAAATACTTTCTAAACCTTACATATGCTTTTTAATAGGGATGACAAAACCCATTTTAAAATGTTAACTGGTTAAACAGTTGATTTAACTGATTAACCAGGATCACAGGGTGAAGGGCTGCTCCAGCCTGGCCAGGCTAGCCATGCTGTGGGCAGCTCTGGTCAGGCCAGGCCAGGCCACTGGTTAACTGGTAAGTGTGCTGGTAAGGCAAATGCTTTCCGGGTAACCCTTTACATCCTACTTTTTATTAATACATTACAAAACAATGGACTGTTATCCTGTATTATAATTATGTCATAGTTTCATGTACAAGTTGTGTTTGTTTTTCCTGGTTCCCTATAATACTTAAAAGATGCTGGGCAATGAAATCCGAACACTTTTGGTACCTGCCATCATTGTCAGCTTTCCCTAGTTAAGAGGGTTCAACTGGTGAATCTCAGCACTTTCAAGAAGCACTAGAATAGGAAAGTGGGCAATGGGGAAGCACTGCTGAAGGGCAGAAGTGGGCAGCAAATTTTTTCTGTTCCACCTAAGGATGTTAAGAAGGGGTTAACTGACTAATCGTGTACTCAGTACAATTAGTATTGAGGGCATGTTCAGTCAAACTGCGTCTCTGCAGTTTATATGTCGTAGGAGCCCAACTCCTGCTACATTGAAACTGCAGAGCCATGGGAGGCAGGTCCAGGACCAGCACGAGCCAGGACTCAGCAGTCCCAGCTCGCACCAGGACCCAGAACACTGTGGTTCTGCTTTTTCGATGTAGTAAGGGCCACAAAGTCTCCTCCCCCTGTCAGGGTGGGCCACACCTAGAAGGGACAGCCCCCTTCTGCCTGAGGCCCGGCCCCCTCTCCCCGAGGCCCTCAACCACTTCCATGCACTATATTTTTCATGCTGCGAGGCATTCTGAAGACCCTTATAAGCTTCTATGCTGCCGAATGCTTTTGCAAAAAGAATCAAGAAGTTATGCAACTGTGTCCTTGTTACTAGTTTAATATTCTTATTCCTGTACCTTTTCGTTGGTCTTGTTGTCAATGCCTTGGCCAACACACTCATGTTTTCCTCCTCTTGTATTTTGTAACAATGAAGCAGCTAGATTTTAAACTCTTCAGGCCACATGCTGTTTCCCTGCCTTCTCTTGCCTCTGCGTATTACTTTGGGCTTCTATATCAGTGATTGATTCATGGCCCAAACAACAAGGGGTCCTGTGGTACCTTAGAAACTAGCAAATATATTATGGCATAAGGTTTTGTGGGTTGCAGATCACTTCCTCAGAAGCATGGAGTGCCACAGGACTCCTTGTGGGTTTTGCTGAAACAGACTAACATGGCTACCACTCTGAAATAGCCCTAAGCATCTACCAGTAGTGTTTAGCGACTAACTGCCTACACTGATTTTATAATGACAATATTTAAAAAGTTTTCCTTCTTATTTGCATGCAGCATATTGTCAATGCATACGCAAGCTATACATAATGACAATACTGTCAATATCATTTCCCTGGATATTTCAGAAATGTAATTGAATTTTTCACTAAAAATAGCAAAATACAGTTTGATAAAAAATGTATTTTAGTACAGAACTCCTTAAATTCTCGCTTGTTCAAATAGACACCATAGATTTCAGAACAAAATAAAGAGTATGTCAACAAAAACCAATCTCTATTATAAGACCAATATGCTGACAATATTCTAGAAACATTAAAAGTAGGAGTAACACCCCATACCAGAGTGCCATTACACTTTAAAAATAAAGAAAACCGTACAACTTAAATAAACACAGTAACCTCAATGTTTTGAAATGTGCTTAAAAGATTAAAGCTAACTTTCAACAACAGGAAAAAAGACTTCCTGTATTAGATTCACTCCCTAAACACAGAAAGGAGATGTTCTTTTTGCTGCTGTAAATCAATCATTTTTGACCTCTCCACAATTAATTTAGGAACCATCTTGCAGTTTGTGAATAAGTATTTGCATATTGAGTTATATCTTATTCCTTGTCTCCTGCTTCACTTTTCTGCTGCCTTATGGTCTCTTCATTCACTTGAAAAAAACATTATCCAAGCATTTCTAACAATGCTGTTTTGTAAATTCATTGTGACAGACAACCTGATTATCTAATTCACTATGTTATTACTGTTTTCACCTTGTCTTCTGGATTACTTACACTTCTAAAATCATTTTACTTTCCCCGCCCGCACAGCCTGAGTCTGAAGTGGAGACTGTAAAGTTTAGGAAGACTTGCTGTGTTTGTTGCTTTCAGATGTTGACATTTAAATCTCTCCTTTTTTGGTACAGCACATAAAGCAGCATGTGAAACTTGCAGATGTATATATTTTAAATCAGATGTTCTATAAATGTACTGCTAAATAACTGAACAATACAAACATTTTTAAAAGAATGATAGCTTTGGTCAGGCAGTTTTTATTACTACATAATACTAAAGTAAGTCCACCATATGCTATGCCACTTCCCCATCACTTGTTAGGGGGGAAAAAATAAAGTCATTAAATACAACGTAACAAATCAAAGTATATGGGTATAAAAAGACATGGTTTTGCTGGTGCATTTGAGTAACAAACAAGGATGATCCACCAGAGAAGTAGATGGCAGCATGGAATGGGTCACCGAAATATCCTAAAACAGTGTTTCTTAAACTTTGTAAGACCAAGAAACACCTTTTTTTTTTTTAAATGAGGAACACCAAGGATGTTTTGTTGAGCAAAAAAAAGGGGGGGGGGGGAGGGGGAAAGTTATTAAAAAAAAAAGTTACCCCTTTAAGGGTGGCCACTTTGAATTCTGTTGTTCTCCGTGGCACACCCCGGAATGACTTGCGGCACTCCAGTTTGCCCCGGAACACAGTTTAAGAAACACTATTCTAAAATCCTCTTCAGTACAGAAATAAACCCCACCTGTTCACATAACCCTAGTTGTTACCTACCACCTCACCCTGGAATCCACAAGGGATATCCTCAAACAACTACAACTCATACTCATTTTGAAAGAAATGTCTCCTGAACCCCCTCTTCTGGCCTTCAAACAATCCCCCAATCTCTCCAAGCACATTATCAGAAGCAAGCTCCAACACATACTAGGGATGTAATAGTGTAGTCAACTGAATAATTTACCGATGAGCAAAAGCTTATCGGTTAATGCTGTTGACTACATGCATTACCCACCGGTCTCGAATTTTTTTAGAGGGTTATCCAGCAACCTGGCTCAGTCCCAGCTCACGCCAGAACCTGGGAACTATCCCCACTGCTGGCTATACAGTCCAAGTCATTTAGGAGCTGGGGTGTCTGCCTGCAAAGTTCCTCAATGACTTTCAGTGCAGAATCACAGCGGTAGTAGCTCCCGGGACCCGGCGCAAGCCAGGACTGAGTGCTTACAGTGCTAATTCTTATCAATCAATCATGTAGCCAACAACATTTTTGTTGACTACATGATTAATGAATTACATGCTTCTTAACATTCCTAGCACATACAAGGACACCACCAACTCAAAAGTGGCATCAGACCCTTCCAGAACAGCAGATGTAAGATGTACAGACACCTGTCCCTCGTAATACACTTTTCAAAATCCATGGGTCCTATACATGTCTATCAGAACATGCGGCGTACCTCATCTGAAGAAATAAATGAAGCCAGACAGTCACTACACCATTCTGGAATGAACTCACACTGGACAATGGCAAAAAGACGTAAGTACCACATCACCCAAACGCATAGTTCCCGTGAGAATCTGGGCAGCCGTGCACTAGAGAAAGAAAAGTCATACACCTAATTAGA